ATCTGTGAACTTATCTGCCAACAAAGAGTGACTATATTCCAATATCTTTTAATGAATGTTTGACTGGAGATTGTACTTTGGCTTTAACAACGAGCAAAATAAACTAGTTAACTTTCTTTGGATCAACAATGCATCACATGCTTGTGTCTGAATGTGGTCACACAATTATCTAAAAACAGTTATTTCAGGTTAAAACAATACAATTGGATTAATTATTTTTGAGTAATGTTGCATTTAAAAACAAATTTGGCTCTACTAATGCTACAATCACCAACAGATTTGTTCAATTATATCTGTATAATTCATTGCGTCAACTTAATTTATTTTTGTTTTCATTCCTTTTTCTTGTTTCTAACTTTGTCCATATACCTTCATTGTTGTGCACCATCAAAAGTGCTAAGTCAGTCAAGTTTCATGTTGTTATTCTTGTATTGTCTTTCACTTCCTGTTTTGTTTTGTCACTCATTTGTCACGTCTCATTTCAGGTTCCTTGGTTGCGGTCCAATAGTCCATTTAGCTTAGGAACCTTCCTAACGGAGTGAAATGACCCGGAAGTCCCTCAGTGGCAGCCATGATAAGTGCCGTTCGAATTCTCTAAATTAAAAGGAAAGGAGGTTTCAAACTTCCTTTATAACCTCCTTTAGTTTAGGAACCACTGGACCTCCCTAACCGAAAGGAGAGGAGAAAATGCTGCCCCACAATGCCTTGCGGCCGCGGCATTTGCCGTCACACAACAGTCGGCCGTTCACGGAAACAACCGATTATGAACTAGAAATTATATCATGAAAGTTACGGTGCTTATTAAGCATTTTAAAACGTATGTGGTAAGTTGCCAAAGTGCTTTGTTTTGAACGTTCATCAGTATTATAATCAAAAAGAGAAATATGAACGTTAGTTTTTACTGAAATGATCAAATAAAGTCAACATTTCACAGTCTTTACTGTGTGGGGTTTGTTAAACTTTTAAAAGATGTTTGAATGGTGATATACACAGTGATAGATGTTAAGGACTAACGTTTATAATAAATACATTTGTATTGATTTTAAGATCTTTTCATACAATCATACGTATTGGGATCATTTGTATTAATGTGGACCGGAGGGAGAGGGTGACGAGCATAAGTTTCACTTTCCTTTTTTATTTCAATTCCAACTTTGGTCATGAAGAATATGTTTCTCTGTGTCCCCGTTCATAAAGCATAAAACAACAGCATCAGAGCACGGTGCAGAGTCTCTAGATGAGTTTACAGTAGTCCCTCGTTCTTATTAACATCCATGTTGTAGTCCGCTGTATAGAAAACTGTAGTTTCCATAGTTTCCCCACAGCAGCAGGCGCACATTTATGACCTCCGCTGGCGCATCATAAACACGTCGGATAGTGAAAGTGCAGTCGGATTCTCTAAAGTACCGCAGTCTCTTCTCCTAAATCCTTTTGAATTCTCCTATCCACTATCCCTTAACCCTGTGACGTTTCACTCAGAGGTCAAGGAATAGACGATAGGGTTAGAACTTAGGAGCTGTTTTTTTTTAGTATTTGACCGCAACCCAAGTGTGTTCTCCCGCGCTCATCAGCACCAGCCCCGCCCCTGATTGTTTTCACCTGTGCCCAGTTATCTCCTGTTTATATTCCCCTGTTTCCCTTTGTTTGTTGTCAGTTCGTCTTGTCCTGTCCTCATGCCAGAACTCTGCTCTTCAGCGTTTGCTTCTTTGATTCAAAGCCTATTTTTTGCTTGTGAAACTTATGTTAAGTTTAGTTCCTCACATTGTGAGCGATATTCTTTTGTTACCTTTGTGCAAATAAAGTATATCAATTATACTTTACCTCTGGCTCCCGGGATAAGTTATCCTTGTGTATCCAAGTTCGTAACATTCATAAGATGTTTTGGAATGACAAAACACCTCAAGGTTTTTGAATGTATAACTTTTCTCCCAGGCCTTTTGAGCAAATATACAGTTAGACAGTCTATATCGAGCAGTGCGGAAATATTCAAGTGTTATGTAGCTGAAATCTGGGGTAAGTGGCAAGATCTGTAATCAGCTTCCCCTGGCTCTGCAGTGGCACAGCAAACAAAGGCAGCTCGAGGATTGGAGGAGAGTGACCCCAACATGGCCAGTTGTTGTTTACTTTATACAGAGACTGACGGCTGCATGCAGTGCTGCACTGTGTATACGTGACTGAGGTCACAAACCCTCCATACGACTGCATAACAGAACGGACTGCTACTGATTAACTTACATACTATTTATGGCCTTCTTTTCTCAATTTTTCTTAAAGATTCCTCATCTCTCACTCTACACAACCTCTTTGTCCCTCTTTAAAGCACAGTAGAAAGATTATCTCTGGAGGAGGACTCCACTGTCTTTAGCTGATTTATACCCTTTTAAGAACCCTAAGAAATCCACAACAACCCTTATGGCCACTTTAAAAATACCCTCCACTCCTCAGAGATACAGGAGAATGTGCATCACCACCACAGCACATCCCAGAGCAGCGTGGGGAACACACATGTTGTATTCCCTCGACCGTTAATCCTTCATGTTGTTCAGACCATTCAAACACACACAGTATAACACAAGTCATTAAATGTAATTTCTTGGGTTTTGCATTTAAACGACACAGAGCAAACAAATGTCTCTCATTGCCAAAAAAATACTCTTCATCTGTAAGAGATATTCCGTGTTGATTTGATTTGAATTCGGCCCGTCCTCTGAACTCAGCACAGATGTGACGCTGGAGGTGTTTTTCAGAGAGCATCCATGTTCGGCCTCGGTGCCCTGCCTTCCCCTCTGCCTCCTCTGACTCACACTCAACACTGTTGCCAGGGCTACCATTTATTAATATTGGTCCATAACTTTGAGCATCATCACCAGGCTGCAGCTTGGCCGACGGCTGACACTGACACACACAGATACGCATGCAAACACACACACATTCACATGGCTTTGTGAGGAGTTGATGCAGATTGTGAATGAGAGCAGCTAATGGAGAAAATGTTTTTGAAGAACAGGGTGTTCACTGAGACTGAGGAGGACTGGAGGGGGATGTGTTGGACACTAGCGACCCCTTGTGGTTTTTTGTGATGTGTGTGTGCCCTGCCATGTTCAGCACTTTTTGCAACTTTTGTTTAAAATCTGCATTACTTGCTTACTCTAATCAGGATTTGAGCCTGGGGTACACATTGGAAAAGTAAAAAAACAACTGATTTTACAATAAGGTACCCAATATCCTGAATAATTACAAGTACAATTTAACACAATTCTTAACATCATTGCATTTTACTTGAGGATTTACACTTTCAGCTACCTTTTACTTCGATTTTAATACATTTGACAAAGAAACTGTTACTGTGTGAAGAAAATAATCTGAATCTACATTGTTTCCCCAGTAAAAAAAACAAATGTTTAAACAAAAGTTAAGATGATTAACCAGAGTAGTACAAAGTGTGTGTGTGTGTGTGTGTGTGTGGTGTGTGTGTGTGTGTGTGTGTGTGTGTGGTGTGTGTGTGTGTGTGTGTGTGTGTGTGTGTGTGTGTGTGTGTGTGTGTGTGTGTGTGGTGTGTGGGTGTGGGTGTGGTGTGGGTGTGGGTGTGTGTGGGTGTAATTATATAAACAATAAGCACATTGTGATGTGTTATATGAAGTGAAGACAAGTTTTCTACTTGTGTTTTTGCATATAAATAAAATAAATGTCTCTGTTTTTACTTTACCAGTCATACTTAATGAGTTATTTTGGTTATTCCGATGTCCTGTTTGGCTATTTTAATTACAGTTTGATGCACATTCTCTGTACAGGTGTATTCTGCATCAGATTAGCTTCATATTTGCTAACAATATGAACTTCTATGTTAATACAAGAAATAACAATGGAGCTCTTACCCCCCCCAGTTGGTCACTTGGTGTAACTTAATGCTGATGCAGAAACTGTGTCACACCTTGTGGGAGATATAAAGCAAGTTTCCTCTCACTTTTCATTGTAATATCCACAACACATGTATGCATTGTAGACACCTGAATCTTAGATTACTTACAGGAAATTGATCTACAAAGTTATACAGTATATGGCATTCAAACCCTGACCTCATCACTCAGTATATCGAGACAATATTACACTTCAAAGACTACGGGTGGGTGATGTGTTGGAGGAGGGGTTGATGGAGTGTTCCTCATCAGCAGAAAGGGTAATGGAAGTGAGTATTTCAGCAGCTTCATATCATGAGTGCTTTATGTGACTGTACTGTTTGAAAGTTTGATAGGATTCCTAGTTTCAACTGAAGAAATGTATTTACAATAATACCATTTAAATTCTGCATATGGGTTCAATTAGCAGGTAGCACAAGCTATGAGAAGGCAAACAAGCAGATATGCATACACTCTAAAAAGAAATATACCGGCTCTACTTAAATAAATTGAGGTAACAATTTGCGTTGATCTTTTTAAGTATTTCCAACTTAATCGATTATTAAATGAATCCGAGTACCCATTTATAATCTGATTAACTCAATTAGTTCAGTACTACAAACATAATTTGCTTTCACCTTTAAAAACAAAATTAAATTGAACCAACTTAATTTTAATCGTATTAAGTTGCATTTTGTTTAATTTAAGCTATTATAATTTATTTATTTAAGTCCATACTACTCAGAAATGTCCATGCAAATTGTTACCTTAATTTGTTTGAGTATTAGAAACTCATTTATTTGAGTCAAAAACAATATACACATTTAAGTTCCCACTTTTTAACAGTTTATTTTCAAATGTTCTTTACACAATGACCCTTTTTATAACAAATGTTCTCAATATGAATAAAAGTAAATACAACAATTTAAATAAAGGCATGAACCTGCTTCCAACGTTTTTAACATCTCTTTTAGGTAGTTCAGGTTGAGTGTTGTATTTAGCCCCTCAGGCACAGGCTCTGGTCCGCACCCGAGACTTGAAGGACTTCTGTTCCTTCAATCACTATTCTTGCATCCGCACCCCTTGGTCAAGACAGTTCTTCAGCACCTCATTGCTAACTTCCACTTCACCATCCTGGAATAAGATTAGAAAATACATTTCAGTGTTTTTGGTGCCCTCAGATTTGAAAACATTGCATTGTGTTTCAGGTTAACACAAGTTACAGTATGATTAAGCATCGTCTTACTTACTTAAGTTTTCCTTGAAGAGATCCTCCTTTTCACGAAGACACACCACCAAGCAACGGATAGCAACCTCTTTTATTCTTTCCACCGAATCATCCTTAGGAGAACATTTTAATGTTGAGAAAGAAAAACAAAGGCTTGTTTGCAAAAACTGAACATGCCAAGCATTGTCACTTGCTGTTCATATTTATTTTAATTCAGTTTTTATCAAATGTAACGTTAATTCTAACAAGAAAAAATATATATACATACTGTATTACAAATAATGAACTTTGACTGCAACTGTGAAACAGGATACAGGAGGATACAAACAGCTAGCTAATCAGTATGCTATGCATGCTACAGTAGCTTAAAACAAGTAGCTAATGACTACCTTACAGCTTGTGTTACACTGTATATGCAGTAAGCAGCTGTTGTAAATTAAGCTGAACAAAAATGGCTACTTACCAGGTAACTTGATATATTATTAGGTTCAAATCCTGTTGTTCCATTGCTATCAAGAGTTCTGCTTCCAGGATGAATGCAGATTGCTCCAACTCAACATGCGGTCTAGCAAAGTCCGGGCAAGTCCAAGCGTGTGTTCAGTTTTGAAACTATAACTGAGTTACTCTAACTTAATATATCCCTATAGTTGAGTGAACGCAGAAATATTTTTTCAAAATCATTTTTGTTCTTTTTCAGTTTGACTGACTGACTGATTAAAATGAGTTGTAAACTAACAAAAATAAGCTGAGGTAAAAAACGAAATGTTCTATGTTGAAAAAGTATTTTTTTTTTTACATGGAATCTACTAACCCCATGAATCGTGTACAGCGAGAAAAACTGCCAAGACAACTACTTACAATGTGCATAATTAACACAATAAAATTTAAATAAATATCCTTGTGCTGTCTCAGTTTGATTACTTGTGTTCTCACTGAGGATTGCTAAATGCAGTTAACATTGAATATCTGAATGGGGCACTTATATCGGACAAAGAGTGTTGAAAGCTGGACAACTCTCAACCTCAAAGATCGCCATCTTGGCTACATACTGTAGCAGAATGGGAGGGATCAGCAGTGGTTGGACTCAGGTGAACAGCTCACTACACAAATATGAGTTATACATGTTGGTTTTTAGTGCCACTATATTGTGGTTGGAAAAAAGCAATCAGTCTGTTTATTGGGTTCATTTAGCACTCAGTCATTCCCAGCCTACAGACAGAGAGATAGATGAATAGATCATGGTTCATTAATTATTTTCATGAAGGAAGTTATTCTTCACAGTAGATGCATACATAGCACAAACAAGTAAGACATACTGAATTATACGCTTAAACGCTTACAGACTTCACCCCATTATATTGAACATTTCTGCAATTTTTTTTCTTCTCACGGCTAGAGGTTTCTAATGGTTCCCATCAACAGTTTACAACCTTTGAGTCAAAGCTTCATATAATCTCTCTGTGTATTTATTGTTTATTGCTTTTATTGTCATCTATTCTTCTCTGTTCTCTGTGTTATCAGGGAGTTATCCAAACTAAACAAGCTTTAATGACCAATCCTGGGTTTTATGGACCCTTATGCTGATCCCATTTCAATGCACAATAACAGATGGTGGCAGAACATTGACAGCTCTACTTCTCCTTCCCCTCTGTAATGCAGCTTTTGGTCTAAAGGTCAAGGCACTAGAGAAGCTTTACTGACTCACAGCTGTTCTTCCCTGTATCATGTCTGCACAGCATAACCCCATTGAAGCTGTTAAAACCTACAGATACTTAGGCATCACTATAGATGAAAACATCTGCTTTAAACCTCATTAGACAATCTCTTAAAGAAACTGAAATTAAAACTGGGATTATTTTTTTAGAAACAAGACCTGCTTCTCCACAAGTGCTAGGAAACAGCTATAGCTGCCACATTTTTGCCGCTCTTGGACTACGGGGATGTTGTGTACGTGAACGCCTCAGCTCACTCCCTTCATCTGCTGGATGCTGTTTACCATGGGGCTCTGAGGTTCATAACCAACTGTAAACCCCTCACACACCATTGCACGCTGTACTCTTTAGTCAACTGGACATCACTATCAATGCACAGACCACTGCACTGGTACAAACTCATCTATACCGCTATGCTTGGACTGCTGCCCCTCTACATATCCACTTACATCTCACACAACAGTACAGTTATAGCCTACGATCTCAAAATTACACCACTCTGTCCGTCCCCTCAGTACGCACGGTGCTTGGGGAAAAAGCCATATCATACTCTGCCCCCTCAACCTGGAACACACTTCAGCAGGAACTTAAGCTGACCAGTTTGATACCCATCACAGATTTTAAACTAATTTAAAAAAAGCTGGAGAAATCATCTGTGGGTGTTTGCACCTGCAATATCTGACTACCGATGTTTTATTTGATTGTTGCCTCAGTGTTTAGTGTCCTGTCTGTCTGTAACTTTGTGTGGTAGAGTTACCACTGAACAGGTCTCTCTTGAGAATGAGACCTTGTGTCTCAATGAGATTCACCTGTATAAATAAAGGCTAAAAAATAGTTAAGATAAGTGTTACAACAATAATACTAACAGATGTTAGTTCTGTTTTGTATTTATTATGTAAAATGACTCAGACAGTAGGAACTAATGCCGTAACTGAGGCTTATTGCACTGTTAGGGTTAGGTTATAATCTGAATTGTCCACAATGTGGAAAATGATCTTTGTCCTCTTTACAATTATGCATGAATTACAAATAACACTAAAGAAAAACACACACTTCTGGAGAGCCTGGACTGTGCTTGATGTAAACATGATAAGGATGGGACACAAGCCAAGTGGAAGAGTCAGGGTAAATACCATAAATCCTCCAACACTGACAGAGACCTTCATTCAACCTGATTGGGAGGCTTTTATTTGCTTTTTACATTGGACACTTCACTTCCTTGTGGCTTGTGAAATACACCTTGCATGCTGTACTTGCACCCCCCGGTATTTGCATCATTTGGGTGAAAAAGCTCGGCCAGAAGTTACCAAAACCCTGGTCGCCTCAACAAAGAACATTTGGTAGTTTCCTGGGATTATTGAAGAAAATAAGCTTTGTGACAATCAAAAGGATGTTCTCCAGTAATCAAACAACATGGGTCCCTATACAATTATTTGAACTATGAATGTCATACAATTTTTTTGGGGGGGAAATCCATCAAATATTTGTTTGTGTTTTCATGTAATAATGAGGTGAAGCTGCTAGCATGGCTAAATATCTATTTCGTCCGATGTGGCCAAAATGTCTGCAAACACCTGCCTTCTGTTAAGTTTCACCTGAAAACATGATCATTTAGACCAGTGGTTCTCAACTGGTGGGTCGCGACCATAGACTGTATATATAGGTCGCGACCCAGGACCCGTTTCGAGTGGGTCGCAGATGTGTGGGAAAAAAGTTAAACTTTTATTTTGAAGGCCCGGTTTTCTAACGCTGTGCATGCAGTAGGCGTTGGACTGGAAGTACCGGAGACCATAAACGGTTTTGAAAACTTCTGTCACGTAGTGATCATCTTCTCAATAAAACATCTTTGCTGATGTTTTTTCGAGTCTTCTGGCCAATCAGAATCAAGATTGTTGCCGGAAGTCCCCACGGAGAATAACTTTGCGGTAGAACTATACTAGAGTGGCGAAGTCACGCCCATCTACTTCCGCCCCATGGGACCTTATTTCGGAAAAATAATGTATTGAAGTCAATGGAGAGAGAAAACGTATCTTTCGATCCCGTTTGAATTGTGCCATGAATTACACATATGATGTTTGTCAATCTTAAAAAATAATTTCCATGTCAAAAAAGTCACAGTTTGTCGTAAAACTGTTGAAATATAAGACTATGAAAAATACGTAACTAGAAAGACTACAAATCCCAGAGTCGCGTAAGTGATGTCCAACCTGGTCTCACCAGAATGCGTGACTCCACCACGACTCCTTAACACCGCATTGCGTGGTGGAGTCACGAACTTTGCTACATTTACGCGTCTGCACCACGCAAACAACCCCAATGTAAAGTGAATGAGGCTCCTTTGTCGTGGTGCACACACGCATTTCTACAACGTCCAGCATTGAGCTTTTATTCTATAAAACGTTTTTAAAATCTACTTTATAGCTTGTAGTAACTCACGGGAGGCTTCTTTTATTTTATTTGTATTCATAATAATTTGAAAAAACGTTTTATAGAATAAAAGCTCAATGCTGGACGTTGTAGAAATGCGTGTGTGCACCACGACAAAGGAGCCTCATTCACTTTACATTGGGGTTGTTCGTGACTCCACCACGCAATGCGGTGTTAAGGAGTCGTGGTGGAGTCACGCATTCTGGTGAGACCAGGTTGGTGATGTCACAATTGTTTTCCTCCACTAAGAGATAGCTAAAATCAGCGCCATATATGCGGCTTTCACACCAGCGCTTTTCCCTTTCTAGCTCCTAGCTAGAGCTTTTCTGGTTCAGCTCCGGTTTCCCTTTTCAGCTCCCGCTCTGTTCACACCGCCCAGCTGCCGCTGCTGCGTCATGACGTCACCGTTTCCATCGCTGATTTTCTCCCCAACGGAGCTCACAACAACATTGGGTCGATGATCGTGTTGCTTTTAATCATACAAAGCCAGATTAAATTAAATAACGACTTCTCCAACCTTATACTTTTCTCCAGAGTGCCGTGGTTCATTGTTTATTAATGTGTTTCAGCGGCATTTACCGACCGCTGCAGTGCTGGCTGCTCTTCCACGGGAGTTTATTCTCCCGTTAGCTCCGGGTTAGCTCACACGGCTCTAAAGTATTCACTGTCTGACTGTCACACAAGCAGCTGATACATATCCCCAATTCCCCTTAAGTGAATGTGTGTCAGTCTGAATTGACGCTGTTTGGCATCACAACGCTGTTATGAAAGTTTCTCTAGTATAACATGGGTGATGTTAGCATAGCAACCGAAGCTAAACTGACTACTTGCTAAGCCGTTTTCTACAGGCACATTTTACCGTATACGTACGCGTATTTTTCATTATGATTCTACTTGTGATAGTCGGACATGACAACCTGTGCAGCCCATGTATTGATTCCATCCGATAGCTGCTATAATAACAAACAAAACGTCTGCCTGCTCTCCACAATGATCAATAACAGCGAACGGATGGTCAAAGTAAGGTACAAATAAACAGAATCACACGAAGCCTGGTTAGTGTTGCCTGACTTTATAAAGTGTGTTTTTTTTTTATAAGTGTGTGGTTGCCTTCTAGTCACTTTGCTCAGCGCTACTGCTTGTAGGCAGGCATGACGAGACTCTTCAGTCGACCCATGTTCAGGGGAGGTGGGTTTAGTTTCCTGCACGCCTCGACGTAAGAGAGACGTAAGCGACGCGGCGTCATAGCTCCGAAGCTCTTGCCTCTCGACCGACAATTTTTTGGAGCTGGAAGTGAACCGCATTCCGGAGCTATGACGCGGCGTCGCTGCGGTGTGAACAGGAAAAACCGGCGCTTTTCCAGCTCCAGCTCCGAGCCGGAGCTGGAAAAGCGCCGGTGTGAAAGGGGCAATA